CATTGCTCTATTTAATAAGACTAGTGCATACCAATCTGTTGACGTGTTATATCGTTTGTTATGAATACAAAATATATGAACCCAAGGAATATTATATAATACACTGTCGTATTATACAGCCACAAATGGATTGTCTATAGAACCTCTAACTTTTAGAATAGAAAAACAAAATTACCAATTGAATTAATTTGAGAAACAAAAACATTTTATAGATTGTTGAATTATGCGGTTTTTTTTTAACTGCAACTTGAGCTCGAAGAGTTGTTTTATAAAGATGTGATTGCTTTTTCGTTAATTTCTGCCAAAATAAAATATCGACAGGAACTCTACACATCTTGCACAAAATTCTTAATTCATCTGCGTCATAGCAATAAATCAAAAAACTTAAAATATAAATTGGACATGTAATTAGTCAGTTTTTCCCAAAACACTTTTTATGTTCATGTTTATCACTTCCTCATTTTTCTTTTTGTTCATTGCGAAACTTTGAAATTTCAATTTTCTTGTAGGAGAATGACAGCCATATGATGAGGGTCTGGATGGGGTTTACAGAACAGAGAATAATGTGCAAACAGTCCAGAATAAAGGGAAAAAATAAAGAATAGAGAATAATGGAGTGCTAATATATAAAGAATAGAGAATAATGAGCAAATTGAATAAACAATAGAGAAAAATGGTCTAAAATATTAAAGAATAAAGAAATGAGGGGGGCCCATACAGACCCTCATACATGTATAACGTGAGGGTACCCAAATTGCACCTATTTTGACAGTTTTTTCACCTACGTTTATTTATGATCCAGACAAAAGTTGTAGATGTATCATTATTTACTATATGGTTTCACCAATTTAATTTTGAATCCATATTGAATCATATAAAAATGGGTTTGAACAGACCTCCAAACGATCCATGATTCTGTAATGAGGAGTACCCAAATAGCATCCATGCTTAAATTCACATCCTAAAAAATCGAATAACAGATGTTTGTTTTATTTCTTCAAATATTTAGAACAATTTGACATTAGTCCATGGTTACTATTCATTTTTGAAAAAATATATGCTTGTAACATATTTCATTTGGTCATTTTTTAAAGATGACTTTTTGTGGACGTCGTATGGCGACGTTTCCGTACATTTTATTTTTTCCAGTGAACACTTCATCTGTTGATATATACTGTGAATGTTTTGTGTATATTTGAATATATTTACCTCTGTTGAAAGATGTGCATAATGTCAAATCATAAAAATACAACTTGTTTAGTCTCTAAGAAAACTTGTAAGATTTCGACTGCTATTTTTGCTAAATAGGTGCAATTTGGGTACTGTGACGTTATAGGATTGTTTGATTAATGTGCAGTTTCAAATATTTCCTTCATAAAAAGGTCAACATCCCAATATTGCGATGAATCCAAAGGGTTGATTAGGGTAGAGAAATATGGTCACCTAGTCCTCTTTCCTCTAGCAGTAATCTAAAAAAAAATATAAATAAGCAGCCACGTCCAGTCAGACTGAGTTAGTTTAACTACGATGCTTTGTAGGTAGAGAAAGGGCAGGCTCTATTAAAGTCAAAGAATCATGGCATCCTGCATAGTGGGGCCGAAGATGACATAGCTATTCCATTTCAATCAATTTTAAATACTCTCTTTTGCCAGTGGCAGTCCAAATATTCTGCCTTTTATCCCAGTCGATCCAATTTGTAGAACATTTCATTTGGATTTTCATTTTTCTCGTCCACATGAAATACTTGCCACGTAACAATCTTAGTTAACCAATCTACACGCCAATAAACGCTAGAAAACACCTCAGATATGGACACGCTTTTTGTGTGTAGTAAACGATATCATGGTCATATTGATTTGATTATATTAATTTGTCGGATAAGTGTTCCTTGGTTATTATGTGTTTTATTCCTTACATGAGTAATTTTTTCATCGTGAATCAAATGTAGCATTTCATATTAAGATTTATATTTTACTATAATTCGTGTATGAGTTTGTGCCATTTTATATGTCAGATCACGTCAAATAAATAAATCAATTCAATTAATCAACCTATATACTTCAGTTTTAAATCCAATATTTATGACCGTATTTGTTTCAAAGTGTACATTTTATTATTCAACGCAACACGTGTCACTCATTTGAATTGCATTATAATCTTTGATATATATTCATAAACTGCATTTATAACATTCTAAACTACAAATATTATTCTGTTGGTGGTGAAAAAGTTTTACATCAAGTATTCAAAACTATGTCGTATAATTCCAAACACTTCTTTGTGTTAGGTTGGAAAACTGTTCATTTGGATTTTTTTTCTTGTCCACATAAAATACTTGCCACTTGGCATAAAGCATCTAAATCAACCAATCTACATGCAACTAAACGCTAGAAAACATCTTAGATATTAGCATGGTGTTTATATGTAGTAAACGATATCATGGTCATATTGATTTAATTATATTAATTTACCGGATAAGTTTTCCTTGACTATTATGTATTTTATTCCTTACATGAGTAATGTTTTCATCGTGCATCAAATGTAGCATTTCATATTAAGATTTATATTTAACTACATTACGTTTATTATAGTTTGTGCCATTCATCTGTCAGATCACGTCAAATAAACAAATCAATTCAATTAATCAACCTGTATACTACAGTTTTCGATCCAATATTTTATGATCGTATTTGTTTCAAAATGTACATTTTATTATTCAACGCAACACATGTCACTCCTTTGAATTGCCTTATAATCATAACTGCATTTATAACATTCTAAACTACAAATATCAGTCGGTTGGTGGTGGAAAAGTTTTACATCAAGTATTCCAAACTGTGTTGTATAATTCCAAACAATTCGTTGTGTTAAATTGGAAGCGCGATTAAAAATTTACACTTCCAAATATATATAAGAGAAGATGTGGTATGATTGCCAATGAGACAACTCTCCACAAGAGACCAAATGACACAGAAATTAACAACTATAGGTCACCGTACGGCCTTCAACAATGAGCAAAGCCAAGCTATAAAAGGCCCTGAAATGACAATGTAAAACAATTCAAACGAGAAAACTAACGGCCTAATTTATGTTCAAAAAATGAACGTCAGCTGACATGGTTTTTTTTGTGGATCACAGCTGTATTGTTGAAATGCTGAAGTTGCTGTGTCATTAAAGTATACCCCATACCATCTCCTTTTATTCGTAAAGAATTTAAAATCTGTGAAGTTCACTGAAAGGATTCAATTTGAAAAAGGGGTAAATGTTTTTGAGAACATTTATGTATTCATCTGAACATTGAAAATGATGTAGGTACCAGTAATCAACTAATAATCTGTAGTATAACTTGTGTAAGGCATATTAACATTATTATGATGAAGTAAGATAAAACAACTGCTATTTTTTAATAGAATCTTCTTGTTCAAATTTCAAAACCTCTACAGATTCTGGAGGCCTGCGCTTCCCAGACCCCCTGCCTCGGTAATAACATGAGGCAAGCTACGCCATTGAAAAATGAACGAGAAACAAATATGTAACACATAAACAAACGACAACCACTGAATTACAGGTTCCTGACTTGGGACAGGCACAAACATACAGAATGTGGCGGGGTTAAACATGTTAGCGGGATCCCAACCCTCCCCCTAACCTGGGACAGTGGTGTAACAGTACAACATAAGAACGAACTATAAAAATCAGTTGGAAAAGGCTTAACTCATCAGAAGGATAAAAATACAAATACTACAAATACAAGTGGACGTGGCCGGGTACTTGTACATCCAAACAACAAAAAGACACTAAGTACAGATCTGAGAGTACTCGCAGTTACTGACAGCTAGTTCAAAGCCACTAACAACTAATAAAAAAATCATGCATCTAAGACTAAAGACCGTTTATTGACTATACATTGTATTAGATGATTATTTAATTTAACCTGTGTATTTGAATCCAAATCTTACTGACATTCATCCACTTCTCTTTTTATTCATAATCATTTTGTATTAAAAAATGACTGTCATATATATTTTGAGTCACTGTTACCATGCGAATATATATTCGAGTTTTTCTTTTTCCCCGTTCTTATACATGTTTTGCAACTTTCTGTAAAACATACCTATAAAGTCCCTTTAACACATTAATTTGAGCAATGTCTTTGCATTTTCGTGTGCAATTTTTACATTTATGATTGTAATACAGTATATCATACTCCAACGAAACTATGACAATTTTGATTCATATCAGTAAAATACTGTGTTTCAATAAAAGAGGGACGAAAGATACCAGAGGGACAGTCAAACTCATTGATCGAAAAACAAACTGACAACGCCATGGCCAAAAATAAAAAGACAAACAATAGTACAGATGACACAACATAGAAAACTAAAGACTAAGCAACACGAACCCCACCAAAAACTGGGGGTGATCTCAGGTGTTCCGGAAGGGTAAGCAGATCCTGCTCCACATGTGGCACCCGTCGTATTGCTTATGATATAACAAATCCGGTAAATAGTCTAATTCGGTAGGTCACTTTTTTTACAAAAATTGTCATCCTGACTTTTTTTTTGCTAAGTTGCTCATCCTGCTCATCCTAGCCCCCCCCCCCCCTTAAAATCAAATGGTAGGCTGAGATAGCTCCCTTAGCACTGACGAGATTTAAAGCAAACATCAATCAATACCTAAATCAGTGTTGGTAGAATTATTAAACATTCCATGTTTCTGCTTTTCCTTAATACTTTACGTAATTTTTGATATGCTAAAATATTTGTTGTATGTTGATATCAATCGATATAGCCTTTACATCTCTTTGATAACTTCCAACATTTAACGACGATGTAGTGTCCACTCAAGGAGAAGAATTTAGTTCTCTAGTACATCATCGAAGATTATTTAGACAATTTGACCATTAGTAAATTCATTGTTGTCAGTTAAGTTGATTTCTAGTCTAGTAAATAGCTTAAGATATTGACTCCACGGTTAACCCGACTGGCAAACGTGGCGTTTTTATTATACTTACGACTTGCGACTGCTGATTAAAATCGTAAAAGAAACTGCCGAAGTTTGATCTAGTCTCGTTCTCATATCGATTGAAGTAATTATTAGTACATTGAATAAGGGTAAGGCTGCTGATGGATGATGGTAGGGTGGCGCTGTGATTGTATCGATCTGCAACAGCTGTCCATGTAGGCTTTATAAAATATTTATAGTACAATGTTAGTAAAATGTGACAGTTGAAGATGATCTACATGAATGTGTAAAGTTTTAGTTGTTTTACAACATGCTTAATTTAGTGTAATTAATCAGTCTACTGCAAAAGTAATTTTGACATTTCCTTACGGATTTTATATAATATTCAAGGTAAGGTGTATAATATCTGTTTATGAATGTATACATGTGTTGTTATTATGATTCAGTTTACAGTTATGTTTTAAAAATCAATTTCACATCCATTTTTACATTTAATGAAAAATTTCTATATTAAATATTTTCGCGATATTGAAAATCTTCATTAATACATGTATAAGTTTAATTAACATGCAACAACATATCCTCTACATTAATTATTTCGGTGTAAAAGTTGACAACTTTCATAATTCCCTCTGTTTTATGTTTTTCTTTAACATTCATCAAAACTGTGTTCTTAAAAGAATATTTATCATTTCAGATTTGATCTTTTTTCTATATTAACATTCAAATTTGAAATGAAGCTGTATGTTAAGCTACCCTTGATCCCATCTTCATGTATTGTTCGCTTTTTATTTGAATGTTTTTGGTGTTTGCTCAAACAGTCCCTTATGACAATTTTTATATTTCTAGCTTTTGAAGCGGGGGGTATGAAGTAATCGGGTAGTCCGTCCGCCCTACCGTCCAGTTTTTGTATCAGCAATTGCTCCTGATCAACTTGACAGAATGTTGTGACACTTTAACATAATCTAAAGCACATACTGAAGTTTTGCATCTCATTTTCAATTTTTTCGACCTTATGATTTTTGGGGTTGACTTTGATATGATATGGATTTTGTAAAATTTACTCTCGTTTGAATAGTTTTAAATTTGTCATTTCGGGCCCTTTTATAGCTGACTATGCGGTATGGGTTTTGCTCATTGTTGAAGACCTTACGGTGACCTATAGCTGTTAACTTCTATGTCATTTGGTCTTGGTGGAGTGTTGTCTCATTTGCAATTATACCACATCTTCTTATTTTTATACACACTACAGTACACTTATCCATCTTTTCCAAAACATATTTAGAATATGATGAATTTTCTAAGAATCTCAATAATATAAAATAAATGTCTGTGTACATCCTCCATATTTTTTATCCAAATTATTTTTTGGGGTTTCCGGGAGCAAATAATGGACTTTGTCATTATTTTAACTTTTAGGAGGGTACCCATTTGTTACATATCTTACCCCTCCTTAATCCTTATCCCCTTTTAAATTGATTGGAAATATTCTCAGAATATAAACCATACAATATCATTGTACACCTCCTATTTTGTGGTTTGATCAAAACCATTTTTGTAGTTTCCCATGGCAAATTATAGACTTTGCAACTTCTTTATATAGGAACAGTATATTATTTTGAGAGTTTTGCTTAAAAATTTTTAAAATTGTGAAGTCTATTACTTTTTTCATACAACCGCAAAAATTTTTTGCGGTCGTATATATTAATTAATTGGTATGACGTTGGCGTCGTCGTCGTCGTCGTCCGAAGACACATTGGTTTTCGCACAATAACTTTAGTTAAAGTGAATGGATCTCTATGAAATTTTACCAACTGGTTCAATACCACAAAAGGAAGGTTGGGATTAATTTTGGGGGTTATAGTACCAACAATTAGGAATTAGGGGCCAAAAAGTGGTCAAAAATAAGCATTTTTGTAACTTCCAGACAATAACTTGTGTTTAAGTGTATGGATCTCTCTCAAATTATACCACAAGTTTCCATACCACAAAGGGATGGTTAGGATTGGCTTTGGGGGGTTCTGGCTCAAACCGTTTAGGAATTAGGGGCCAAAAAGGGGGAAAAACAAGGGTTTCCTGGTTAATGGACAATTTAAAAGTAGTGTAAGGGAAGTAATCCAAAAACAAAATTGTACAATGTTGGATTACCTCCCTTACACTGCTTTTAAATTATCTATTTAAGACTTTTATGATGTATTCAAATTGGTAATTATGGTTGCAAACTCCATTGTTAATTTGGATTGAGATTATGACAATATCTTGAGGGAAAGAATGTTTTTTTGAAAAAAAAAGGGGGGGGGAGGGGGGTAAAAATTGTGGGGGGGGGCAATTTTTTCCATTTCAGATTTCAGAAATTGAAAAGAAAATTTCTTCAAATATTTTTTTTTTTGCAAAAAAAAAGGGGGGGGGGGGTCAAAACACAACAGCATAGTGTATTTCACAAAAGCAAAAAAAAGGGGGGTAATATATTTTTATTTGTTGGGGGGGGGGGGGGTCAATTCGCAACAGCATAGTGCATTGCACAAAAGCAAAAAAATGAATATAAATTATATAACCAATTGTAAGTTCTTTGATTACAGTTATTCGGTGTCAGAAACCTATTATGTGTTAAATCTTTAATTACAATCCAAATTCAGACCTGTATCAAGCGCGAATATTGTGTCCATTTTCGCCCCAACTGTTCAGTGTTGGACCTCTGCGGTCGTATCCAGCTGCGCTCAGCGAAGCATTTTATAAACAAAAGCATCAAACTTTTTTAGCACATACAGGTTTTTCCTGTTATATTCATGATATTTGAAAGCTCATTAATAAAAAAAACAACATATATATCATAACTTTATCAGGCTCTGGGCAAATCAAAGCTGACGTATTGTGGAGACACCTGTCTATTATTGAAGGCTTTATATTGCCCGCCCTCGAGATGTCTTTATGTTATTTTGTCGTTAGGTTGCTTTCTTATTTGTGCTTACCCAACATCTTGTTTTATTCATATTGAATGTTTTTGTATGTTAAGAGGATCTACGATTATGAAAGTTTGTGAGACATAAATAACAGCAAATGCATGCATTTGAAACTTAATTACTAACTACTTGACAGAGTTAAAATTAATGATAAATAAGGGTTTTTGGTCAAATGATGACTGGGTTAATGAAGAAAATGTCTACCTTTAAAGAATGTTCGTGTTTTTCTGGTGATGAAGTATAATTGCTGACTGTATATAAGAAACAGATTGAAATTCTTGCTACAGTTAATTTATTTAGGACTTTAAAAAATTCTCTCTTAACCATACAGTATGCCATAAGAACGTCTATGTCGTAAAATATAAAATATAAATATAGATTGAATAAACAGATGTGGTATGATTGCAGATGAGACAACTATAATATATCCACCAGAGACCAAAGGACGAGGATGCAAACAGCTATGGATAACAATACGGCTTTTAGATGAGCAAAACCCATACCGTATACTTATAAGCTATTTATACAAGGTCCCGACGTGACAAAATGTGAAGCAATTCAAACAAGAAAACCAACGGCCTAATTTATGCATAAACATTAAATGAAAAACAACTATGGCAGGCAGCAACCAACGATTACCATTGAATGAAAGGCCTTTGATTTGGGACAGGCACATACAAAATGGGGCGGTGTCAACTATTTTTATGTTCAACGCTCTCCTAACGTTGAAAAGTGGTGTCACAGCACAACATCAGTTTCGTATATGCCCCCGTTGGTATTTTCGAGCATTGACCAAGTGGAATAATTGAATTTCAAACCGAATTTCATTTACAATAACGTTAGAGCAGGATTTATCGATTTGAGTCTGAAGATCTAGCACTCAACCAAGAAATGATTTATATTTGTTTCAATGCAAATGCAGAACATATTTATATTGCTAATCTTTTCAAACTGCTTAGAAAAGCGATTTCCTTTTTTTCAATCAGATTACATGTACTATTCATATTATAACTTAATGTACAGATCTTCTTCGACTTTATACATAGGACGCTTACTGTTATAAAATAGTAAATATTTATATTTGTTTTTAGCAACAAAACAATAATGAAATTCCAATTTCTCTATATATGCCCTCATATCGCAGGTGACTCTACAATCAAATGTTAAATAGTACAATAAACTCCTATCATGGGAAAAAAGATAAAACATTTACATTTTTTTTTAACCACGCTGATGTAATAATTACCAGAATAGAAAGTATAACGCAGTCTTACCCCAGATCATTGTAAGCAAAGAGCGGACACATAACATGTGTTTTAATCAGATTGTGAATAAAAAGATGTTCAGTCTTTCTTAACAAGTCTTTTATTAATTCCCTACTTTTTTGTCTTTAGCGTAATGAAGGTTTTTCCAATAATACGTATCGCGGGCACTGAAATTTTATCATACATATAGGTCTGTACTGCTGTTGGTGGACTAGCCGTCATTGCGGATACCATCTAAGTATGTAGTATCCAGTGGTTATCAATGAGTAATAATTTAATTTTGGATGTAAAACGTCTTTTGATGGGCTAAAAGGTTTTTGACATAGACATAATTTTGTCATGTGACCCTGATGTCATCAACGTTTTTTCATGATTTACTACGGAAAAATGGAATTTAGAAATTAAATTATAAGGAATGACTGTATTAAAAATGTCGTGCATACTTTTAAAAAAACCCGCTACGCGACTTATTCAGTGTGCACCACATTTTTGATGTTATTTCTTTATAGACAGAAAAAGTATTAGTACAGTCATTTCTTAAATAACATTTTTTTTAAATAATAAACTATAGATATAAATTTCATGCTAAAAAATTTGATACCTTTACTAAAACTAAGGTTGCAACATCGTCCGTCAAAAATGACCGACTTTTGACTGTTCTCATTGGACCCTTTCGGAGTTGGTGCTCTGGAATCTTTTATCTAGTTGGCTGACTTATTGACTTATGGTATGGGTCGTACGGATGAATGTTATCCCAGAAACATAATTCTGTGCTTACTGCAAGTGGTAAAACAATTTCGTTAAGGAAACATATTGATCGATGTATTCCCTTTAAATCTTTACATCAAGTTTACCAGGGTAAATGCAGCTTAAAAAGGAAGAAACAGAGACCAACTGTCGAAAAATATACGTATTTAACCGATAAATAAAAATCACGATTGTCATGGGAAATAAATGACAAAGTTTGGCCTATAAAGTATTTTGTTTTGTAAAGATCTTGATTTGCATTGAATGTCTGCCCAATCGTTTAAAAAATCTATCGAAAAAGTCCAATAAAATATTTATTCTCTCGAAAACGTGAAAAATCTATTGAAAGTGTAACGCATTTCCGCTGCTGCATATTATGTGAATGGTGACTGTTATATAGAACTACAGACTAAGGATT